CAAGAACCCCTGGACCTAGCCTGCATATCTTTAATATGGCATTGTTTTCGTCAAAGAACACTCGATACGCAGCTAGCCTAGGGACTAGTAACTATCTAGGGATTACAATCCGCGGTCCAGAGGGGACCAATCCACCAACACAAGAACGGACGATCTAACTCCAGTAGCGCGATCCTTTTTGCCTCATGGCCATCCTCATCACTCGTTGGTTCGCAACTGTCGCCCGGTCTCGTTCGACAGGCTAGAATCAAAAATTTACTCAGCACATACAACTACTTTTTCGGCCAGGCCGTTGGGACCGAAAGACAAGTACACCATATGAGTGGAGTACTTTGGGAAAGAGCCTTTCATTCTCTCAGCTGCGCCGTATCTGGTATAATGGCACCTTACAGGGGTGTCTTCATCGACTGCCTTGCGTGGAAAAGCGGAGAGGCAGAGAAATTTGCGCTTGCGAAAATAGGAGATACAAGCCCACACGAGGCGTCGAGTAACGGACAAATCCTGGCTATTCAAGAAGCGCACTAGTAGCTTGATAGTGGACGACTCATGAAGGTCCTAGGTCTTTATTCGCATTAGGGACTGCAATAACAATATATGCTCCGGCGTCCACTCTTCCAACGCGGCTTCTCCCAATATTGCTGAGAAAATCTTACTGAAGAGCAGCAAACTGGGCGTGTGCCCCCATATGGTCCTGCTTTCTTGCTATGGGATCAATGAGTCTATTTGCTCTTCCCATGATGGCAAGGTTGTTCTTTTTATATCTTGCTCTGCTATTTGTGTTGCAGGTTGCAGCTCAGAACTGCAGCAAGGAAAACCCTTGCGCCGCTGGCTGCTGTTCAAAGTATGGCTATTGCGGAACAGGCGATGAATTCTGTGGCGAGGGCTGCGTGGATACTTGTGACTACAAGCTGGGCTGCGATGCGAGCAATCCCTGCAAGACGGGCTGCTGCAATAAGTATGGGGTTTGTGGTCTCGGACCTGATTGTACGTACTTTCCTGCTACATTTCCATTTTAATTCACCTAGGATTGACGAGAAATTATGCAGATTGTGGGAAGAACTGCGTTGCTGGCTGCGATAGTAAAGCCGAGTGTGATCCGGGCTTTGGGGCCGAATGGGCTGATGCTTCGTCTTGTCCCTTGAATGTCTGCTGCTCTAAATATGGGTTCTGCGGTACCACGGCAGAATTCTGTGGTGACAAGAAGGTCAATCGACCTTCTTGCTCCAAATCCGGCAGTCTCCAACGTGTGGTTGGATACTATGAGACATGGAGCACCCGCCGACGATGCAATAAATTCTGGCCAGAGAAGATCCCTCTTGGGGTTTATACTCACATCAATGTGGCCTTCGCCGTCATCAACCCCGAGACCTTTGAGATTGCGCCCTCGCTAAACGCCGATATTGATCTCTACAGACGAGTGACTTATCTCAAGACGATTGATCCTGATCTCAAAGTCTTCATTGCAATTGGAGGATGGGCATACAATGACCCTGGTCCAACGGCAACCACGTTCTCAGACTTGGCTGCTTCTATAGAGAAGCAAAAGACGTTCTTCAAGTCCCTTGTCAGATTCTTGGCCACCTACAATTTCGACGGAATTGATCTTGATTGGGAGTATCCAGTGGCTGATGATCGCAGCGGCCGCCCCGAAGACTACAAAAATCTCCCCATCCTACTGAAGAATCTCAAGGCGGCGCTCAAAAATACTGGAGGCCGGGACGGCCTGAGCATCACCCTCCCGGCTTCATATTGGTATCTCCAGCACTTTGACGTCAAGCAGATCTCCCAGCATATAGATTTCCTCAATGTCATGACCTATGACATGCACGGAAACTGGGATAAGGGCAACAAATGGCTTGGGGCGTATCTCAACGCACATACCAATCTCACAGAGATCAAAAACTCCATGGATCTCCTCTGGCGCAACGACATCCCTCCTGAGAAGGTCGTCCTCGGAATGGCATTTTATGGGCGAGCTTTCACTGTTGTTGACCGTGCATGCACTACGCCTGGATGCTTGTTTGCCTCTGGCGCTGAGCCTGGCGACTGCAGCAGTGAAGTGGGTATTCTGATGATCTCGGAAATAGAAAAGGTCATCAAAGAAAAGAGCCTGAAACCTACACTTTACAAGGATGCTGCCGTCAAGGTCGCCGCCTGGGACGATCAATGGGTAGGGTATGACGACGCAGACACCTTCCAGCTCAAGGCCGACTTCGCCCGGAGTCAGTGCTTAGGTGGTGTTATGGTATGGGCGATTAGCCATGACCTATTGGATGGCACCTATTCTCGGGCACTCGCTACCGTCGCAAATCGCAAAGTGGTCGCACTGGCCGATCACGTCGAGCAGAACGACACCATCACCATCAAGCATGACCAATGCAAATGGACGAATTGCGGAGAAGGGTGCCCTCCTGGATGGGTTACCGTTTCCCGCAGTGACAAGGATCGACACCACGACGGCGAGATCATGCTTGATGATGGCGGTTGTCTTGTGGAAAAGCAGTTCCATGTGCTTTGCTGTCCCCCCGACCAAGAAGTCCCCACTTGTGGTTGGTACACGTTCAACAACGGTCGCTGCGTGGGTAAGTGCCCAGATGGAATGACCGAGATCGGCGGCACTAATAGGGGCTGCACTGGTGTAAATGGCAATTATCAGGCTGCCTGCTGCACTACCGGCACCAAAAATATGGCCCTGCATCAGAAGTGCGAATGGGGTGCATCCTTCTTATGCGATCGTTACACCTGTCCTGCGCAGAATCCCAACATCCTCGCGTTGTCCTGCAATGGCAATGGAGGCTCGGCCTGCGGTGGTGACTGGCGGACCAACAGAAACGAGGAGCGCAAATACTGCTGCGATTCGGGCGATGACAACATGAAATGGGACGATTGCACATGGGAGGACCACTACAGTGCTACCGGTCTAATACTTGTGCCTGCAGGTACTCGAAGCTACTGTGCCTCAAATTGCCCCGCTGACAAGGTCAGGGTTGCGATGGAACACTATAATACATGTTCAAGGAAAACAGGTTCCAGGGCCAAATGCTGCTCTCCCAAGTACACGACCACCATCACTCCAGTAGACCCGTTGGTCACGCTGTGGGAATCCGATTTGACAGCATGGCTGCAGAATCCGACCTGTTCTAGCAGCAGCTATAGTGATGCATGGCTTTATGGTAGCTTGGAAAAGCGATCAACTCCTTACGGAATTTTCAGTGGTCATCCGACACGAGGTTTGGCCATGAGTGGTCAGTACGCCCCATTTGAGAAGCGTCAGGACCAGCTGATTCTGTTCTCAAGCAATTCCATTATCATCATCCTGACTGATATCATCTTTGCCTACCGGTCCAGCTCTATCGCGGCCAAAGTCTCTAGAGAGATCAAAGTCTGGGACAAAATCATTGGGGCCCAATACACATACCTGGCCACCTCTCAGATGATGCCGTTCCTGATGGACCAGTGGGATATCTATGGCACGGCTGCCACTGATCTGGCCGGGGACATCATTTGCAACCTTCCCAGATGGGACGAGTTTATCAAGCTCTGTACGATGCCAGTATCTGAGAACGTCACATGTGCGAACGTTGATCGTGATGCCTGGGATCCCGAGTACAGTGTAGATCCAGACACCTATGGCACCTCCTCCGATTCCGCAGACAAAAGGGCACTCACCCCCCTCGACAAGCGTGACGGCCAATCAAGGTCATTTACTGTGGACTGTGGAATTGACCCCGTCACTAATCTGCGTCGAGTCATGTATATTGATTCCCAGCCATATCCTAACGGCGACGGCGGCAACTCTCTCGAACGGGCCAATGGCTTAACCGTCCGTTTCGCCCTGGCTAACCCCGCAGACTGTACTGATGCCACGATTGATCCTAATGCGCCCAACAACATTTGGGCCTGGGTTAGTAAGTAGACCCCGTACTCTTGACATTGTTGTATGGGATCTGGTTACTGATGACGCATCCGCAGCGGAACATATACTGGAGCTTCAGCTAATCCCTCGCGCCATTGAATTCATGGTGACTGGTATCCTACCGCCAGTTCAGGGTCTACCAGAATACAGATCAAAACACAATTTACTTCCCTGGGATGTTGCTCAACTGTTGGGCCTGGACTATTCACAGTGGGCCGCTGGCATCACTTCAGCAACAGGCAGCCCCATTAGCAGGATCTTTGATTCATTGGGCTCAAAAGCAAATCCGGGAGTCTTGGTGAACGCAGAAAAACATTTGAATTCAGTCAAAGGAAGAGTATGAAGAGAACTCCAGCAAGCTTGATGTGGGCATTATAGGCAGAATTTCGCTTACATTCATCGCAGATTTTCAACGGCAAACAGCCATTTGGGAATGACACATGGGCTAAAGTGAATGTCGCTGATCCTTCCCGCGCCCCTGCCGCCCTAGACCAGATCCGAGTTGTAAGACTTATATTCCACGTACCTCACTATACTTTTCGCTCCATGTTCAGCTAATATAGCTTCACTAAAATTACAGGTAATCTCGGTGTTTGAGTATCTTAACGATTTCAATGTCAACAGTAAACTGGGGCAGGTATACAGAGGGGCCAGTGCAGAATGGCGCCTGTTTCAATCCACTGTCAATAAAGTTCGGCCAGGTGGTAATTACGACACCTATCTCCTCTGGAGGGAGTTCATGACAAACTTCTTTGGTGAGCTGACGCTCTGGGTGAGAACTTGGGTTGTGGAACATCTGAACCAATTAGAGGATACCTGGCTGGAAGTATACAACTCTGCGCCAGATGCAAGAACAAGAGGCTTTGCATTTTCTACTCTACAGGAAATTGAAATCATGAGGGACCGAATACGGAGAATCCGATTCGACACGTCGATGTTTGTTTACATGGGCTGAGGAGAGCAGAAAATCATACAAATGAATGGAATATGTATTGACCCATGGTGGATTCAGACAGATTGTTTCTTGCATTGATGTCTATGCCAGCTTTAGAGATCCCATAAGTCTATGAAAGGAGGAGAATGGTCAATTATTCGGCCAAACCTCTTTGGGTAGCTTTGAGAAGAGCCATCCAGGCAATGGCCCATCGTGGAGTTTCTCATTGGCCTCATGGAACTCTTGCCAGATTTCCTTCAGGGTGGCCTTTTTGGTGGACATCAGATCATAAAATTTGTTAAACAGTTGACCCCAGGTAACCTTAACACGTCCATCGTAGCCATCAGCATCAGGACCTGGTAACGACCAGTCTGGATCAATAGCCCAAGCCCAAGAATATCCATCTTCTCGCAGATAGGTATCCCGACATTCGGTAGGCACATTGAGGAATACATTTGAAAGAACGCCTGGTTTGAGACCGCCTTTATCTCGACGGGCGCGAAAGTCCCTGAACAGCCTAAGTTAGCAACTACCAACAGCACTCTAGAGTGCGAGAGTAACATACCTTCGAAGTTGATCCACCCCGCCCATTTCAGGTCCATAATCGACAAAATCAAGGATCTTGGAATCCTGGATTTCTTCGCCGCCGATAACCATGACTGGGTGAAAACTCAAAAGTTCATTAAAATTGTCCCAGCACGCTCTCCAAGCCTCCTTGGTACCTTCGTCTTCATGAACGATTGATGGACGGTAGATCACATAGCCCCAGCCTTTGCCATCACGGTCAAGGATTTTTTGCACCCAGTCCGGCGGGTGAGTCCTGGATCTCTCTTCAGCTTCAAGGAATGGCCTATTGTGCGCCTTTTGCTTCGCAAGGTAGACTGCAGGCTGTCTGATGTTTCTAATGGCCTTGAGTTCATCCGGTGATAAGACAGCAGCCCGCGCCTGCTGCCACTTATCCCACAGCTCCTGGCGTCCGATCATGCGTTTCAATCGGTCATTCTTATATTTAGCAGCATCGAGACCCCCAAGTATCTGGAAATCATCATCAATCAAGCGACACTCTGGATACGTGAGAGCGAGAGGATCATTGGCCGCTGTGTGAATGAGATCTTGCAAAGATTTGCCAATGTATTTTTGACTTGTCTCCTCCATTTGTTCCAAGGAGGGCCATTCCATTATAGCATGTTTCTCGTCCTGAGTTATCTCAGATGGTGACTGGATTGCTTTGTCATAAAGACTCTCCATAGATACCCATGCTTCTATATCATCGGATGGCTCAGCCATGATGGTTGTGTCCGTATCTGTTGGTAGCTGGTTGCTTCCTGGGAAGAAGGGTGGAAGCCTCCTTTTAAGGTGGAATGAACTCACCGCTAAGCTTAAACCGGAAGGGCTTCCGCAATGTGGGTTGAGTACTCGTAACTTAAAAGACTTTAGTTGTCCATATTTGGTGGGAGAGTTTTCGAAAGTTTGGATTCCATTATGGGCAATCTCCTTTGTTTTAACAAAGCATAATATGGCTTATTGCCAGGATTATCTTCTTATTTTATTTCTTTACTGTCTTGGCGCTCGATCTGATTGGTCTAAAATCTTCAGCTGTCTGGCTTTCTGATTGGCTCTAAAAATACCATTCACATGCCAGGTGCTAGCCGTACTATCCTGATAGAACCTCTGTTCAGAGTTCCAACTCCGTCGGCGATGTGCAGGATCTCCCTATCCATCTCCATCTCCATCTCCCTATCTTATCTATCTATATATCCTTCCTTATGTACAGTGAGCAATTGCTTTCCTAACGAATTTGGAGAGAGCCTGTGTTGGCCGGGGCAAAACTAGCTTCAACGTCTCTTACTCTTCTTTCTGGAGGCCACTGTCAAGACGCTAGCTTGAGAAATGGGAATACATTACGTCATAAGCATTCTTGTTCATATAACTAGACCGGGAGCAACTGTAGGAGCTCTAAAGTTATTATCCTGGTCGTTTTTATAGGATTTTAACTCGTTAAAACGTATATCGCGAGGTCGCTTCACAACGTTCTTTCCCGATATCCAGACCTTCTAAATGTGGCTTTTATCGCCCTTAGTTCTAACTAGATATCCTTTTATAGCATGTTCCTCCATTTTGTAGGATGTGACGCGGTCCTCCTTAGAGATATAGACGTAGACACGGCAGCCAAAGACACGGAGATGCTTAATGGTAGTTTCGTGGTTCGGGAGGTTAAAGAACCGGCGATATTGCGAGATAGGCGATTTAATTCTTCCTCTCCGGGGCGTACAAGGCGGTTTAGGATGTAGGTGGCGTCTTCAACTGCCAGAAAGGCGTTCCATGCCACAAGATCCTTCGGATTGGTAGATATGCCTCTACCTCCTCGGTCCTGCTCGACAAACGACTTCACCTCATATATGAGTAACCACAATCTCCTCATCACCCATCACCCTAGCTGTCGCCAGCAGCGTATCGTCTTGGACCAAGTCATAAACAGTGGCATTCACGACGCCAAACTCAACCCCAGCAGCTTCCGCAACACATCCCGTAAACTCCACCGCATCAAACCCTACAAATGGCACAGCAGCTCCATTGGATTGAAAGTCCTCGACAATCCACTCCGCATTCAACCCCTTAATCGTCGCCGTGCTCTTTGGCGCACTAACAGATTTCGTGGCCGACTCTCCTGTAGTCAGATTCTCTATCACACACACCCCACGGTTACTCGCCGTAACATTAACTGACGCGACAATCACATCGCCAGGGTTGACGAGAAGCTCGTCATAGTACATGGCGAAGTTCGGGTACCATTCGTACCAGGGATCGGCATAAGCCTTGCCATTGAGGATGTAGAAGTCTACACCCGTTTGGAGAATAGCCGTGGTGTATGTCGCGCCGTCAATGCCGACCCAGGCTGAGGCTGCTTGGTAGGACATGTCGCCGGTGGCAGTGGCGGTGGGGATGGTGATTGTCGCGGAGACGTAGGAGAAGGTTGCGCTTGGAGTTGAGTTGCTTATGACAGCGCCGGCCCAGTTTGTGCTGTAGGAGCCTTGTGTAATTTTCCTTAAGGCATCGTCTGATTGTTTCTGCCCGGATATAGACCCAGGGTAACTCTTTTGGAGGGGACCTGAGATTCGACCTGGCCGGAAGGAATCTGGTCCTCGGACACGCTGGAGGGATACAGCTAAGGTGCTGCTTGAGAGGGTGAAAATCAATAGGCAGATTGAAAGAAGTCTCATTGTGATATTGGGGTTGGTAATTGATTTGTAGAGGAGGAATCGTATTCCAATGATCTAGGAAAACCTAGCGGCTTTTATGCAGCAGTAGTTAGGGCCTGGGCCTCGCCTCACTTCGCAAGTTCTGAACTCCTTCGCCCCCGCTAGTCGGCTTAAGGATCAAATGTATAAGCGGGTCCCATAGGCTTGATGCATTGGCACCCTGTCATTGCTTAGTTGTAGCCAGGCAGGAATGGTTTCAGACTTAGTATTTCAGGGGTACGGGTCAACGCAGCCAGAAAAGCCTTCAAAACTAGGAATCTAAAAGCACAGCTCCTTTTTCCCTATTCAGCTATGGGTGTTTATCCACCTTGTAATGAGGTCCTCCTTTTCAGGCACATCCACATAGGAAAACCCAGAGAGAATACCCACAATTTCATCGTATTCCTTCTCCCGCGCTAGTTGAAGATCATCCTCCTCAGGCTGTACGCCATACTCAATCAGAAATTTGCATACATCCAAATGACCATGAAGTATAGCATGGTATATTGAGCTATACTTCCTTTCTCCGTCTCCAATAACGCTTTCCGTCGATAGACAGAGGTTGGGGTCAGCACCTTCAGAGATGAGGAACTCAACCCAGTCTTTCTTCCCTCCAGTAATAGCTCCATATAAAGCCACATGACCATACTTATTGATTTCGACCCCGTTTTCCACCATAAGATCAAACATGGGCCGAGTATCTAACGCAAGGGAAAGCGCTTCGTCCCAGTGCCCGCATACTCCAAGTCTGACCAAGACGCGAAGCTCATGAAAACGGTGATATTTGACGGCCTCAACAATGGGACACTCATCTCCGCCACATGTACGGGCCTTGTGCTCGATAAGTAAATCGAATATCTCATCATAGCCGTGTCTGATCGCGAAAGAAACAGGTAGTGGGTGTTTTTCATTAACAGGAAAGGTAAATCCTGCTACCGCTCCGTAATCAAGAAAACAGTTGACGAGGTCCTTTATTCCAGTTGAGATGGCAGCGAGAAAGGCACGCTGGACGAATAGGATGTCACGGACTCGATACCCTTCTTTATAGAGCGGATGCTGTTGGAGATCCCAGTGAAGCGTTCCATCCCAGTCTCGAGCTCCATCTTCCTCGTCGGTATTATCTTGGGTGTTTGTTATAGGGCTTTCTTCCATAGAAGCCGATTCTTCTCGCTTTTTATTAATCACAAATAGCTGTTTCAGAATCTCCCGTACGAGGCAAATATCTCCACTTTGCACTGCACAGAATAACAGAGATCCATGGCAATCCTTAACGCTAGATGTAATGAGGATAGCTTTGAAGATCCTATTGAGTCGACGATTTGATAAGACGAGAGCCCGAACATCTCTATAACAGCTTAAATATCCACCAATACTACACAGAAGTTCATCTGGTAGCTGGACAAGAGACATGGAGGCAATGCAGTTAATGAGAGCAGGTCGGAAGTGCTAGGAAAACTCACCCGAAAAGGAGGTTGGGCAAAAGGAAAGTGCCAAATGGCTTGGACCTGGGGAAAAGGCAATACCGGAAGAATCCTTAGCTTGATTTTGGTAATTATTACTAGGCATTATCGTCCGTTGTAACGGAGTGGCTGTAATTTTCAGTTGGCGTTCAAGTCCAGGGTATCTCATAGTGCAACCGACATGGCACCAATTGTTATGCATTAAAACTTATCAATACAAGGGTTTTTAGTATGTTCTGGAATGTAGTAATTAATTTCATGTATCTCACTAATCTCGAATTAGCCTACTAAGACAAGTCGCCATTCACCCCCATAGAATCTCCTCCTCGTTACAAAAAATCCTCAAGGCTACCTGTTACACGCCGTCCAATAAAGTGGTCGTCTTCAAACACCGACGCAAACATAGTAACCCAGCCAGAGAGATGCACAAGAGGTCCCAACATATGGATTCCAGGTCCCAAACTGGGTAGCAGTAATGCCGTACTGCTGCTCAATAGACCAACAGCTGTCTCCAGTGGCAACCAAGTGCCACTTCTTACACGTGGAGATGGTGCTAGGCATGGCATGGACAGTCTTGGTAGCAACACAGTAGTAGTATCCCGCTTGTAGGTTACTACAAGTCGAACCGACGGCTGGATTCCAGGCATAGAACTCATCCTGAGTCAGATAGGTATATTTCTCGCTGACGATGGTCCAGCAGCTATCGCCCGAAACGGCCTGGTAGAATGTCTCACAGTCGGCCGTGATGCCGGCTTGGGTCGGAGAGGGACCGCTGGCCGTAGTTGTTGTGGTGGGTGCATTGGTGGTGGTAGTGGTGGTGGTCTTCGTAGTGGTTGTGCTTGTGGTTGACCCTATCACACCAAATTAGATTGGTGATAAAGAGATGGGAGGGTGGGAGAAGAGAAAAGCTACCTGAAACACCAACGCAGACATAGTACCCAGCCTGAAGGCTCTGGCAGGATGTCCCAACAGCTGGGTTCCAGCTGTAGAAATTGGCGAGGGTGATACCATACGTCGAAGCTATGTTGGCACAAGCGTCACCAGTTTCTACAAAGTAGTACTTGTTACCTGCGAGAATGATAAGCGAAGACAAACACAACTGAGTCAGCCAATGGCAGACATACAGTTTGCAGCAATCCCAGTCTGCTGAGGAGAGTATGGGTTAGCTGTCGTCGTAGCAGTGGTACTTGTGGGAGCAGCAGTTGTCGTGGTCGTTGACCCAGCCACTCCGATGCAGACATAATAGCCAGTCTGAAGTCCCGAGCAGTCGGTCTTGACAGCACTTAGATGCAAATTATAAGTAGTCCATCTAGAATGACAAGTATAATTTACTTACGGATTCCATTGATAGAATTGACTCAATGTGAAGTTGCCATAAGCTGTCACGATTCCTTGGCAGTAGTCACCTGACTGGACATCATAAAACGCGTTACATGTGGAAATAAGGCCGGTCTGAGTGGGATACGGTGCCCACACTGAAGTGGTACTCGTAGATGTTGTCGTAGTGATAGCAGGTGTAGTAGTGGTAGTTTTACTGGTAGTCGTGGTCGTCTTGCTAGTCGTCGTCTTGACAGCAGGCGCCTCCACACAGTAACTCCATCCTACCGTCAGAGTGCAAGATGTTGACGATAAGGAGGGGTTCTGACGGCTGGCATTAGTAAGATGTCACTAACTGAGTGGAGAGAAATTGACTCTGACCCATGAAACAAGCTGAGCAGTCGTAATGCCGAAGTAGGCATTCAAAGACGCGCAGGTGTCACTTGAAGTGACAGAATTGGCCCAGTACGTGCACCCACTGGCCACATTTGGGTCTGTGGTACCTGTGGCGGCCTCACCTTTACTCCAACGTTTTCCTAGTGTAGCAGCATTGGCTACTCCAAGTAGGAGCGCTGGGGTTAGAATCACAGAGAGGAGCATGATGATATCAATAACAAGTGACAGTAGTCACAGTAGCATTTGATTTCAGGGCCTCAGTAATAAGACATCTAGAGAGGCGAAGAGACCATTTTTTATATGTCTATTGCATATCAGGGCGTTCTTAGGGATGCGCTTACGGGCGTTGGGCTAACAGCATCTCATGGGATTGGATTAGCTTCACATTCGGCTAATTTCAGTAATTTGAAGCAGAAGCATCAGCATTAGAACCGCCATTGGAAGAAAATAATACTACTAATCTGGATGGTCTAAAGATCAATTCGCCGTTCCAAGCCATCTTACCAATACACACAAGTGCATGAATAGTTTCCTACACAGTTCTAAGCGAAGCTTCGGTGGACGGTGCCGATAATCCGAACACTGCAGACCATGTCCAGAGTATCCGGTAATGGGCTAGATCGTATATGCATGACTAGGTATGTAATAATTGCATCCATATAACAGGTCTCGGTTACGGGTGAGAACTAACATTTTCCAACAGGATAGGCGATGATTGCCATTCAAGCCGTGCGCCATACACCACTGCTAGCGCAGGTACAGTAGCTGCTAAATCTCGGATGGAAATTTTTCTCCTCCGCTAATATCGGGATTCTGTTCCAATATGCAACATGCTGGCTAGGGACTTAACTGTTTAATTTCCGGTGAATTCCCCCGCCCGCAATGTGTCTAAAATTGTGACTACTCCGTATGGCCTTAAGCGAAAAAATTAGCCAAGCTCGCTTGGCACGCTCGTACTCTAGTCCATCCGAACACACCAATCAGCCCGCCAGCGGGACCTGCGTAAACCCCTTGGAGGAGGGTACTGCAGGCTTTAGTTAACTAGTTCATCGTTTAACTAAGCAATATCAGCCGACACAAAGGAGCGCCAAGTTTCAGCAGCGATTGTAGATGCTTAGCATATATATTTCAAGCATATATCAAGCAGCAAATGACTGATCCTGCACCTGGGTGACTTATTTTGCAGGGCCTTGGCTCCTGCCGCTCGATCTAGGCAGCAACATGGCTATGATAGGCACTACAAGAAGTGCAGCGAGAAGGGATAGTTAGGGAAAACTGTGTCCCCCATATTTTTGGACCCCAAATCCAACAACTAACAGGCGGAAAAGGTGCTGAAAGATGCAGCAGGGGCGAGATTCCCCTGATAGGCAATGTAGCCGGTACATCGGGCACCAAATTGTGTCCCACATACTTTTGGACCCCAAATTCACAACTAACAGGCGGAAAAGGTGCTGAAAGATACACCAGGGGCGATAGTCCCTTGATAGATAATATACCCGGTACGGGGTACATCGGACACTTCTATCCGTCAGAAAACCAATGCAAGTAAAAATTCTCATTACTCGAATTTCGTATTATAAACTAACTGTTAATATATGCTCCATGCATGCTTTTTGGCGGGACAGCACATGCAGAAGGTAGCATCGAGACTTCTCATAGGAGTTCGCCAAGGGACGAGAACAGCGTAAGCACAGTCAAAATGTATAGCTTGACTGGGATGTATTGCAGTTATTCGGATCTTATAGTAGCATGAGTCAACAGGAGCAACGTATACTAGGCTCTATTCTATTAAGAAGGAGTACAGGATGTTAATACTACCAGAGCAAGATGATCATGCCGAATCCAGTAATCACATTTCTGCCCAAGAACAAATGTATATCTAAATTCTTTCCAAAGACCCTGCAGACTTTGGCCATAGGTATCATTGATTGCATCGTCCAGCAACGACCCACTAATAGTCAAATGTTTTGCAGGGCTGACCCTCTGGACAAACAGTTGTATCTGGTAGCGCTGAGCCACATTTATCCAAGGACCAGTTGCAGCTACTGTAGTACATGGCTTGAAAAATTCTGTGTTAGTTAACCTATCCTTGTTTGAAATCATTATGGAGGCTACAAACCTAGAGCAAACATTGCCAGAGTATCTGTTGCAAGTTAGTCATAAACAGCCGTATATATGAAATCCAAGCAACGTACCTGCATTCTTGGGAGCGAGGTCAGGGTTTGCAGCAGCCAGTCCTCTGGCATTTCCATTCACAGCACGGAAAGTCTTGGGAACACCGTTTATTGGCATGGTGAACGTAAGGTCTCCTGTTGGTATGATACTTCATGGTCAGCAATCCAGGTTTGGTCTCTTCCTTCTGATGACAGCGCATCTGACCTGTTTTTTCCGCCCCAAATAAGCTGTGGAAATGTGTCATCTCATGCAGGATGGTTGTGGCAGCAGCCCGAAGCTTTAGAGCCGTAAGCGATCTGCCTTTCAGCGCTGCTTCGGTATTCTCAATGTCAGAGAGTTTATTTCTGGTAAGATATCGATCAAGCGCCGTAGCGCAGATGGCCATTTCTTGCTTGTTCGTTAACTGGTTGAGAAATGACCAGCCGTTGAGCTCTGGTCTCTCATGGCACATGCCAAATTCTGCAGGCATTTCCGCCGTCTCGCCTTTGATGCCATCTTCCCGAGTATCCTCGTACTTTGCTATATTCTCTGTTATTCTTCGATCTCGCACTTTTTTGTTTCTTGCACAGTTGGAAAAGCCTCACTAATAGCGTTGCCTTTAGCATCAACACCACCCCCTATGTTCTTGTAGTATTTGTCGTTGCAATTCAAGGTCATAGTCCAACCCCCCGAGCCTCCCAGTGCATTTAGAATAGTACCGTACATGGCTGTGTCGTCCGTATTAGGGAAAATAGTCTTCCTTGCAGGTATGATTGCTTTGACTTACATGTCACCGTGTTCATCGTGCTGATCGCTGTCTGAAACGTTCTTCGATTCCGGCCTGCGATATCTTTATGCAACAGTATCTTCCCGAAATAAGCCTGCCAAACATCCAAGAGGATATAGTATTCTTTATAGTACGTCCCCCAGTCCTTTGGCTGCACTTTATTGGTAAATATATCTTTCAGCGTACCAATCTTAGTTCTTGCATTCCTCAGCTAATAAGGGCTGTTAGCCTACCTCATGAACGAAGATGGCTTCAACTGCGCCTTCTTCTGTATAGCGAATACTCAAATGAGAAAATGGAAGAGATGAGTGTAATACTAACCATTGTCTTTGTCTCATCAAGCTCCTCAGAGAGATATTTTATACGGGCCTCGTCACATTCATATCCCCATGTAACGAAAGAGGAGTAATCCGTAGCTCTCTTGTATAGATGGTTGCGTTCCAGGAGGGTTTGATTTGCACCAATAACGTATGAAGTTTCAAGATCGGAAGGGAATTCGAATGGAAAGGAGAATACACAAGGTATAAAGACCGCAAAAAAAAGCCACTGCATGTTGCTTACCCATCGAGTGATGGGGCGAAGGTTAGAAGGCACCCTCATCGCTTTCGGGGTCAAGGAGAAGGCAAAATTGAAAGGAGAAACACTTCACGTAAGGTCTGAAGTGATTCGGGGATCTAGATCCTTAAAAGGTGTACTGGTTTAGATGCACGCTGGGTACCTTCTCGTGGTACCTGAACGAAAATACCCCCTTGAGAAACTACCTGGCACCGCCTACATGGGTGGTAAATTCAGCTCCAAGTATAAGTTCTAAATGTATTTTTTGTATTAGACTCTAGTCGATAATCTGCATCTAAAATATTGCACGTCTAACATACGGAATCCCGCTATACCTCTATATCGATCGGAAACCGCCGGTGTACTGCGTACATTTCATCTAAGACCTAATACCCTTAACTAGGGCCCTAATTAAAGATAGTTTAGACTAGGATCTAGGTCTACTTGCACGGAAAAAGCGGCTGACAGAATATATCTAATTATTGGCGCAATAAGTTATGTCTCCTAGGACCAATCTAGACCTTCTATCCGAGTAGTTGATATCCATGCCATCCCAATTCCCAAAGAAAGCTATCAGCTGATAGATGTCTTTTCGTGGTGTGTGTACACTTGTGTTCTCCAGTTCACAGTTGTTTGTACGGTCTGAATAGTAGATAGTACGCAGCTACCCGGAGTGTCCCGGACATGTGGTTTATCAACTCACACATATAAGTCAATGTAATTGAAACATACTTATATTAAAAAGATCTGGAACTCTATCATCAGCGCCCCCTTGAAAAATGTTGTGTTAATGACATTGAGCCCAGGGGACAGTCACTATGGTGATCTGGAAATTAGAGGCGACGCCCTGAAAAGCATTGGCTAAATTTTAGAGTACAGGGCCCTAAATTTCAGATGGTTTAGGGTACCCGAGTGGTCCAATGGCAATACTGCGTTCAGTTCGGCCCCAGGGATAGTGCAGAGCAAGTGTCAATAGGATAAGTATTGTTCTCAGCTTAGCTGGAATTACCCTGACACTTGCACTACTAAAGCATTGGCTGCGGATTGGATTTGGTTCATTAATATGCAGGTAAGCGCTTAGACATCCTAGTTTAGTGTACTTGCATTGGTAAATGGCACTGACAATCTATAATGACGCCGGATGGCGAAGATAAGCGAGGCGTTTTAATCAGATGCGCTACGGTCTATTAGCGGGCCAAGACATTTGGCATGCTTATATGTGCGAATGTGCAGGTATCGGTAATACTGCGCGGAATACCGCTAAATCTGGACTGTAGCAAGGACTTGAATCCCTCTTAGACTATCAAAAAGAATGCCTAATTGTGGCCTATCTTGACCCCTATTTCGGAGCTCTGTATTCCGGCTTGGTGTCCTAGAGCGAGGTGCAGTGGCTGTTGGCCATACCAGATTTGTATGGGCGGCGAAGCTCTGGCAAGGATAACCGGACGCCTCATCTTGACGATATGGTTACTTTTTCAATTGCTTAGTATTGTTAACCCATGCCAATCTGCTGGAAATGTCCCATATTGCCGTGTCCCCTACCCGAGGCACAGACTGTGTACATGTAGGACTCAGGTACTAGGAACATTGTACTAGCGCAAAACGCATAACTGGCAACGGTAAAGATCCACGTATTTTTAAGAATTTTCAGAAGTCGGCTATCTATCACTGAGATGACTATCCGTTCTGAATTTGGTTCCGGGAAGGTAAATGAGCCAGAAACCAAGGGAGGGTGGACTCAATAGGAAGAAAGTGGATGAGATACAACGCAACTAGCAGGTTTAAATTAAACGTATAAGTACTACCCGAAGTCAGGGTGAATAAATCCGACTTCTCTGATTTCGTATCGCGAGTAGGCCGTTGTTAAACTTGAGGCACAATCGACATGAAACTTCTATCCAAGACCAGGTGGTTACTACTCAGCTGCCTGGTAGGAGAGATTGTCCCCTTTGCCACCGCAGAATTAGGATCATGCTCCGAAACCGAAAAATGCGAGTCCGGCTGCTGTTCCAAGGCTGGCTACTGTGGTTTTGGTCCTGATTTCTGCGGTGATGATGTCTGCATCTCCAGCTGCGATGCGGTAGCTGAATGTGGTGGTATGTGAACAATCATTGATTTTCATGGTGAAGGCTTACATGGACTTCCAGAATATGCAGCGGAGCCTGGTGCCAAGTGTCCCTTGAATGTGTGCTGTTCTCAATATGGGTGCGTATGAAAGGACCGCCAGTGATCTACAGCTGCTAATATCGATAAGATTCTGTGGCACGACTGATGAGTTCTGCGGCACAGGCTGCCAGAGTGGTTGCGATCCGATCAATGAACCGTAAGTTTGTATTTTTATGATCCTCTTTTCAGATTGGCTTCAAGGATTTGGATCCGTTTCTGACAAGTGCCTTCATAGTTCTTGCTCTGGAACGTCGAGCAGCGCAGTCTACATCGGTTATTATGAGGGCTGGAATCCTGAACGACCGTGTGACGTTGTTCTCCCTGAGAATATCAATGTCAAGCCTTGGACGGTACGATATCCATCATACTTTCTCCTTCGACTTTGTAGTTTCTTATGAATGCATAGCATCTTTACTACTCATTCGCCGGAATTGATCCTTCCGACTTCACAATAACTACTACGCACGATAACGACGCGGACTATTGGGATAAGTTTACCGCTCTGAAGCAGAAAAAGTCCACTCTGAAAACATACATCTCCGTGGGAGGATGGGACCTTGGAGGCAAGGTTTTCTCCGATATGGTACGGTTTCCGGGAACGCGGAAAGCCTTCATTGACTCTGCAATTGCCATGATGAACCAATATGGTTTTGACGGCATCGACATCGATTGGGAGTATCCTGCAGCAGAAGATCGCGGTATGTCCAGCCATTGACACTCAGAATTGGGATTTATGCGCTCTGCTTTGCAACGTGCGGCTTATTCTTCCTAGGTGGCGCGGCAAGGGACACTGCGAACTTCGTCTCTTTTCTTTCTGAGCTCCGTGATGCTTTAGGTTCAAGCTTCGGACTCACTTGCACTTTACCATCGTCGTATTGTACGTTCAGGTATAATCCCTATTCTCTCGCTTTCATGTGCTTACAAAGGTAAACAGGGTACCTGAAGGGTTTTGATATTGTCGGCATGGCAGCACATGTGGATTACTTCGCTATGATGACATACGATATCCATGGCACTTGGGACGGTAGCAACGAATGGACGGATTCTGTAATCAACCCACACACAAACATCACAGAGATATCCGCTGGGCTTGATCTCCTGTGGCGTAACAATATTGACCCTGCCAAAGTTCTGCTCGGGCTGGGCTTTTATGGCAGATCGTTCACATTGGAGGACTCTTCCTGTAACACCCCCGGATGCGCATTTAGCACCACCAGCGGTTCGGGAGGTGCCAGGGCTGGTGAATGTACAGGAACGAGTGGCATTCTCTCCGACTACGAGATTAGCCGCATCATAGATGACTACTCAGTCAATGTGAACTATGATCAAGCTGCCGGCGTCAATTGGATGACTTGGAGTGGGGATCAATGGTATGGTTTAGACTTGAGTATTTCAAAATCCCGCTAACATGGCACATAGGGTCTCTTTTGACAATGGCAAAACGCTCAAGCAGAAGGCCGATTTCGCTAATAGCAAATGCCTTGGGGGCCTTTTCAGTTGGGCGCTTGATCTAGGAGGCCCTGGCTCCTTGGCCAATCCTAACGATCTAAGTTACGACGATACAAACATGGAGGGTGCCAATGCAGACGGAGGCAGCGATGGAACCGGCCTTTTCTATGTCGGCCAGGAGATCTTCGAAGAAGGTCAAAACACCGTGACTGCTGTGGCCCCGGTCAGCGTCATCTTCCCGAAGACCATTCTAGGATCGCCAACAACCATTGATTTCGGCGCTGGGTATCCAACTTCATTGGAGGTCGCAGCTTCCACCACAGCTACTGTCGTACGTGGAACGGTCACAAGTGTCACAACCACTGTGACGAGGTATATTGTGGAGACAACTATCCCCCTAAACCAGCTCGTGACCGGTACCATCAATTACTACAACTGGAACATCACCGGAGGTATCAAATCCACCGAGACGCCCTTGGTTCCAAGCATTGAAATACCCCCAGTCATAGTGACGGACAATCCTAATCCAATGAATGAGACTGGCGTTTATCACACCCCTCTGGTCACTCGCACAGTGAGCATTCCCCCATGGCCATGGACTACGGATGATATGAAGTTCCCAACAGTGACCTTCTCAGAAGGTGATCCTCCTGGTCCCTCTTGCACTGCCAACTGCGGTCACAAATGCTACAGTTTCTGCGACGGACCTTGTCTGGTTGATTGTGGCAAGGAGAGCTCTTCGAGTTTCATAGACCCGCTGGATCCTGATCCACCTACAGTTGAAAAATGCTCTGGACCTGGATGTGTTAACGGAGAATGTGATAATAATGGCCTGTGTATCAAGAA